CATTAGCCAGAGCAATCAGACAAGGGAATATAAAAAGGGGATATGTATTTTAAAAAAAGAAGTCAAATTATTATCATGTGCAGATGATATGATTATGTATATAGAAGACTTTAAAAATTCCACCAAAAGACTACTACAGTTAATAATCAAATTTAGAAATCTAGCAGGATACAAAATAACCCAAAAATCAATAGTATTCCTTTATAGCTATAAGGAATTCACTGAAAAAACATTACAAAAGCAATACCATTCACAAGTGTCAATATAATTAAATAATTAGGAATCTAACCAAGTACAGGACCTTGGGCAACTGGGGTTTTTGTTCAGAAAATGTAAGACCAGCACAATGAAAACTATAGTAGGAAGTTCAGCATTCCTGGTCAACAAGAGCAAAGCAGGGGGCTTCATAATCCCAGATTTCAAACATTATAACCAAGCTACAGAGATAAAATCAGCATGACCCTGGCAAAGTAAAAGAGAGTCAGTTGAACACAAGAGATAATGCTAAAACAACCTAGGCATACCTAGCAATCTGATCTTTGATGTGGAATCCAAACATTGGAAGAAAGATAGCCTGTTTAACAAATGGTGCTGAAAATGCTAGCTATTAACAAGCAGAAGACTGAAATTATACCCATATTTTTCACTGTGTACTGAACTAATCAAAATGGATTAAAATTTAAATATAGAAGCAGAACCAATCAGCTGGAAGAAAATGATAAGTAAAACTTTTGAAGTCATAGGTAGAGGCAAGAACTTTCTGAACAGAAACCTCAGTTGCCCAAGAAATATCCTCAAGAATCAATAAATGTGGGCCAGGGAGATAGCTCAGTGGCATAAGCACCTGCCTGGCAAGCACAAGGTCCTGAGTTCAATCCTTGGTGCTGAAAAAAGGATCAACAGATGTGATGATATCAAACTGAAAAGTTTCTGTACTGCAAAGCAAACAACCAATAAATAGAATGAAGAGACAACCTACAGAATTTTACCAGCTACTCTTCTAATATCTAGAACTCAAAAAACTAAACACCTCTCCAAAAGAACCAATCAGCAGATGGACAAGTGAAATGAGTAGACACTTCTCAGAAGAAATACAATTGACCAATGAATATATGGAAAATTGTTCAACATCTTCTGTTATTGAAACAATGCAATCAAAACAATACTGGGATTTTATCTTGTTCCATAAAAAAAGGCTATCCTCATAAATCAATAACAAATGTTGGCAACACTGCAGACAATGAAGAACCATTAAATATTGTTGGTGGAAATGTAAACTAGTGTAGTCACTATAGAAGTCAGTATGGAGTTTCCTCAAAAAACAAAAACTAGAAATTCCATTCAGCCCAGCAATTCCACTTCCAGGTATCTTTATGAAAGAGTTAATGACATTGTAATAACAGTGATTCATCCTACCCATGCTTATAACAATGCAATGCATAATAGCCAAATCTTGGAAGCAACCTGTGTACATCAACTGATGAATGCATGAAGAAAATATATTTATACTCAGTAGAGTACTGTGGTGCCATAACGACAGATAAACTTGAGACAGTTGTAGAGACACCTTGAGACCAGAACGTTGAGTCAGACAAATTAGATATACAAATTTTACACATGGTTTCTCTTACATCAGAAATTAACAAAAGTGCTAAATAAATGATAGCTAATAGAAATGAGGGAGTAGGGCCAGGGAGATGGCTCAGTGGAATAAGCGCTTCCCTGGCAAGCGCAAGGGCCTGAGTTCAATCCCCGGTTCCTCAAAAAAAAAAAAAAAAA